TGATGCAGAGGACCAGAGGATATTTTACTTCCAGTCTGGGTAACAAAATAAAATGTTTTTGGTTGATTTGACAGTGAATTTCCTCCTTATAGATCCTTTAAAAAGTCTGAATCTGGTGAATGAAAGAAAGATTGTGGAACTTTAAGCCCTTTATGTATTTTAAGTAGGCATGCAGGAATTAAGTTTGTACATTTTACAGTTTTTGAGTCCTTCGTAGATGCTACAAACTGGTTATGTTACCTTTGTTTTAATGGCAAAGGTCGTTTGTATTTACCATCTGCGAATGATATTTTGATGACCCCAAAAGAACAGGCGCTTCAATTACTAATCAGATAGTAGATACCTTTGCCAGCTTCAAGCATCCTACATGCTGAGGTGGGTAAAATGTCTGAATAGTATAATAGGCTATTAGATAAGATCAATGCTGAGATATTTTATTCACAGTTTTATTGATTCATTATCAGCTGTTTTTTTGTTTTAAAAGTGTTAGGAATTCAGATTGAGCTGGCCAATCAAACCATGAAATAGTTTGCTACAGTACCAGACATGTACTTCTACTTCACCAGTCAATATCAACATTAAAGATTTGAAAACTATTAAAAAACCTTCGAAACCACAAAGGATCACAACTTGACTGGTTGCATGGGGGCTGACCCAGAACTTCTGGACAATACTATAGTTTATAAATGAAAATGCCAAAACGCTAATTGCAAATTATAATTAGTACCAACAGTATTAAAGCATTAAAGTCAGTTTTTGATTAATTTGGGCCTATTAAAACACATAAGCTGCAAGTTATTTATTCTAAATACATGATGCGTAAAACATTAAACAGCCTTGACTTTAAACCTGTAAAACAGTCACTGCCTGACAGCTCAGGGCATAAACACAGTTCTCCATGTTTAATATGGCTATGCGTGCCACAGGAGAATGAAATCTGCACATTTTCGTCTTCCTAGTCGGTTCCCTGTTGTGTCTGCTTTAACCCCCGGTGAGAAATGGATTTACACGCTCAGCTGTAAAGTGTTAGTGTCGACGATGATGTTTAGGTGAAGGCGTTTTCATTCATGGCTTCCAGACTTCTCATCCCATTCCTCTAGGTTCTCATAAAATACGAC